AATTGCGTATCCCTATCTCTTCTGTTATTTATTGGAGGGATTCATTATTCGTACGTCATTGTATAAGAAATACAACCGAAAGATTCAAGAGATTCGTAAGCAAAAGATTAGCGACGATTCACGAACTGTCGACAGCGAGCCAATGGAGATGTGTTAAAAGTAAATAGAATCCTGAGCATCATGCTTTAGATGATAGCATTAAACCAATTGAGTGATTCCACGGACCGAACTTTTTATGGCAAAACGAAAATAGCTGGCCAAATTCACGCGAAGAGGAGAACCATGTTTTAACCCATTTGTTTATAGAAGAATTAAGCGAAACACCGGCGTGGAGTCATTTGGACATATTTTTGAATCAATTTAGCAGTTGTAAGACCTGGTCCAAAATGTTGAGGATATTCTGTCTATGCAGACGGTTCGTTTACAATATGAGGGTGAGATTAAACAGAGGACCCTTAATTCTTGGTAGATTGAGATTGGAAGAAATTGATAGTGCGAAGCAGAATATAATTCAATTAGTTCAAATTATCGCATTTCTCATAGAGATGGAGACGCTAAGACGCATACAGCATAAAGACGAGCACGACAATACATGTGAATCGCAAGAAAGACCGAGGAAAGGAGTAGATGGATCAGTTATGAATAAGGAAATGATACTCCATCTAATGTCTGTTGTTAAGATAATGAGAAGTAGCGTTGCGCGTAGGAGCTCGATAAAGAATCTTAATCTTTTTGTAATAGATGAAGTCATCCGAGTAGGGGGACGACTTAAGTTATCGTGCTTGCTCTTCGAGAGCAAACATCCCCCTATACTTCCTAGTAATCATATTATTGCTGACTTGATTGTAATGCACTATTATTCGCAGAGTGCGCATTCCGGCATTACTGTCAACCTGAACCGTCTTCGCAAATAGTTCTGGGTCAATAAGGTTCAAGCTGCTATCCGAAGAGTCCTGAAACGGTGCTATCTATGCAAGAAACTGAACACTACGCCATGCACACAGATTATGGCTCCACTATTCGAATGTCGCCTGGAAGTTTACGTACCACCGTTCAATTTGGTGTTTATCTGCCAGTCCATGAGAACTAACCATCGAGTCGCCAGATGCAAGGAGTGTGTATCTCGTCGACTGTCCGTTTTGTCGAGGTGAGGTCAAGTGAATGGCCACACTAGGATCCTGTATGCGTGTTTCAGAGACAAGACATAAATCAGTGGTACGATGTTCTAGGGTCTTAGTCAAGGAGGTCTGGTGGCCGACATACGGTATGTACGTTGAAGACTCCAATGTGTAGTTTGGAGCGAGGTTTCAGTAGACCTGGGAGTGTTTTGCGCACAAGAATCGTTGGCCAGGGTGACACTTGAGGAGAAGGCAAAAGAGGAGGTTTAGAGTTGAAAGTCGACATAGGAGGTATAATAGGAATTGAAGGGGGAGATTGATTATGAATACAGTGATCTTCCATGCTGCTAGAGGTATAAGGGAGGTTTCCACTTCCCGATTGCCCACACCGTGGTAGGGTTCTTCTGGAGGTGCCTGAAAAGGAAATTGGATTAGAGGTGGTCATAGTGACCTGAGAGCCTGACCGCAGTACCCAACGGACAACTGCTGATAAATTATCCCCTACGATATTTAAGAACTACTAACCTTGTACAGACTCTGTACTTAAATACTACTGGTTGAATCAGAAGTGTATGGAGAATTGTCATCGGAATCGTTAACATTAAGTGTCCATCAGGGTTGAACAATGTAACTGTTTACTTGACTTGGTTGTAGATATTCTCTTAGAAATAACTGTTCAGGAGTTGATTCCTTACCAAGATCACTTATCGATTTAGAACATGCAGATGACGGTTTTGTTTCGTGAAGATACTAAACTGCAGATTCTACTGATCGCCTTGAATGAAAACGTAAACATTTTTCGGATGCATTCCTATTTCTCTAAGTTCAAAATAATACCTTATGACTGGTCTACGTCAACTTCTGAAGTTACTGAGTACGTCGATCATCTACTTGGAATCCCTCGAGTAGGGGTCGCGGATGCGCACTGCTGATGAGTCCCACAATGGGACGAAACAGCCGTTCAGTGCTTCCAGGTTTTCCATGGTGGTCTAGCTTCAATTGACTCATGATCTCAACTATTGAAATTAATAAAATCTCCACAAAACCCCTTCTGATACTAATCGACATATGCTCACTAGTGACTGGCTTCATCAAGATGTATATCCTGGAGTTCTAGTGGGAAGCAGTAACCAGTGGAGTTCAACCAGGTCTGTTGTGAGATAGTAACTCACTAATGACAATGGTGTATATGTCGCTCAATTTCGTGGATTAGTTGAAGTTAGACGTTAACACCGTCGGATGCCGGCTCAGTGTTCAGTGGTTAATTGCCCTCGCTCGAGATGATTGTTCCTTGTGTTCAAATCCCGCGAGGCTTGGCTGTGGAAGCGCACTGCTGAGCCCTACAACTGGACGAAACGGCCGTTCAGTTGTTCCAGGTTTTCTATTGTGTTCGAGCCTCAACTGTCTCATCATCAATCCTGGTGGATTAGTTTATGACAAAGTCTCGGGACCATTCGTAATAGCTTTGTTGTCGTTTGTTAACCTGTGTTACTTGTGTGGTGTGAAAGATGTCATTCTGCAGGCCGAAGGGAGTGTTTAATGGACGGGAGTATACTTTGTACTGCTTTATGGCTTATAACACGGTCTTTGAATAGAAAAGACACGAGTATTTAGCAGATATTTGATCAAAAGTGTCTTCCAAACATTATGATTATATATTATATGACTATTTTAGAATCAATTTTAAACATGAATTTTATTCTTCTATGTTTCTACTTTCAATAACTTCATATTGAAGGAAAAATATCACTGACAGACAGAGAAAACTATGAACAATTTACCATCTTGTTTTTATATCTAGAATATTACTCTCTTAACAGTAGAAATGTTTTTTTCGGAAGTACCGGTTGTCATATCGCTGGTTGACACGTAGGATGAGTTAGTGTGGGCTATGGTGTGACGTAAGATCTTATAGATTAAATGGTCACATCATGACAAATCTACATTTTTTGGATTTTGTCTATTATTATATTAAAAAGATTGGTGTGCTTGTGTTCGAAGAGACCATAAATCTATGGGCTTCCGCCCTATCGTTTACTGGTCGTTGACTCCAGCAGATGGAAGTTATTATGCAAGAAACTTCTAATTATTTGTTTACGTAGTTTCACTCTGGTTGTAGGTGGCGCTCGGCTGGAATTTAGCGTGTAGTCGATTCATACTTCCAACCGATGCTAGTCATGTAAGTTGAAATTTACAAAAGACGACTGAGAGTGCTGTGCAAAACCAAGAATGCTACACATCACATCACCACTGTGTGACAAACTGGTGTCCGTATTTTCTGTTTGACCATGGAATCCGGCAATCGTAAACTGTAGGCAGTTGTCATATGAGAATAAACTGATCTGGTATCAAGAGTTTCGTATCATATACATTAGCAAAGCATGAAAACGAGTGTGTATGTGATTCGTCAAGTGCATAATAATCCTTTTCATTTCACCTTCTAGATGTTATGACCTAATAGTAAATAATTTTAGGAGAGAGCAATGAAAAGCGCTCAAATTGTGTCCAATTCTTAGAATTCGTTTGGAGTGAAACTGATATAGTTTGATTGTTTTTTTCTGAAAAAGACTTTATAAGTTTTTTCAAATCTTATAGTGTTGTGATTCGCTACTCCTAGTTTTATTCCTTCGTCGCTCCACCTAATGGTTTAAAATATTTTTTCTTGTTAGCATTTTTTCAGCGGGTTGGTTTTCTACGGGTCGAAGTCCAAGTAAGGACCGGAGTATGACAAGGCTGTTTACGATCTCCCTTCCTCTTTCTTCTGGTGGTCGACTGGATTATGAAGACCTCGACATCTAAGGGAAAACACAGCATAAAGTGGACAGCTCAGATTCAATTAGACGATTTGGACTTCGCAGATGACCTAGCCCTCCTGTCGCATACACACGAACAAATGCAGATAGTAACAGCCAGTGTATCAGCAGTCTCTGCATCAGTAGGCCTGAACATACACAAGGGGAAAACCAAGGTTCTCAAATACAACACGGAGAACAGCAATCCAATCACTCTTGATGGCGAAACTCTGGAAGATGTAGATTCCTTCACACACCTGGGAAGCATCACCGATGAACAAGGAGGTTCAGATGCAGATGTAAAGGCGAGGATTGGCAAAGCAAAGACAGCATTCCTACAGTTGAAGAACATATGGAACTCAAAACAACCTTCAACCAATATCAAAGTGAGAATCTTCCATACGAATGTCAAGGCAGTTCTACTGCACGGAGCTGAAACTTGGAGAACTACAACAACCACCATCAAAAAAGTGATGGTATTTATAAATAGTTGTCTACGCAAGATACTCAACATCCATTGGTCGGATACCATCAGCATCAGCCTTCTGTGGGAGAGAACAAACCAGCTTCCAGCTGAAGAAGAAATTAGGAAAAGACGATGGGAATGGATAGGACATAAATTACGCAAATCGTCAAAGTGCATCACGAGGCAAGCCCTAGCCTGCAATCCCGAAGAGAAGCGGAAAAGAGGAAGGCCAAAGAACACATTACATCGGGAAATAGAAGCAGATATGAAAAGGATCAATAAGAAATGGAAGGAGCTGGAAAGGATTGCCAGAACAGGGTTGGGTGGAGAATGCCGGTGAGCGGCCTATGCTCCTTCAGAAGGAGCGACAGGAGTAAGCAAGTAGGTAAGCACCACCGAATGATAATAATGCTTCCGAAATAATGCAGAACAAAATCTCCAGTTACGCTTACTAATAACCAAGATTCTACTCCAAAGAAACTGATACATATCTCTTCAGAACGTTGATTTACTAATTTCATCCCTAAAAGCTTGAGAGTTTGATAAAGCATATGTCTATTTAATCGACCGTTCAATATTTTTAGCCACATCTTCGAAATTTAAGGCCATCTCGGCCTGAAGGTCATGCTACCCTTCATCTTGCTGTTTCGTTCTAGACACCAACCAGTTTGTTGCTTTGTCAATTTGACCACTTCAACCTTTCTGCAAGATTGGATTCGGAAACAAACTCCGAGAAAACCTACCCGTTTCAAGCTACACAAAGCTTATACTGTCCTCGATAATGAATTGTATGTGGCTGTGATTCATTTATTTTTTTTATAGTTTGGATTTAAACCAACCAAAGCCCTTTTCCTTGCCACAGAATAATACGTTACTGCATCAGAGTAAGTCCTCCAACTTTTTTAGTACACTTCTCACAGCCGAATATTTCAGTCATATCCGTTTTGAGAAAATATGAATTCTGTTACTAATATCCTCCATGGTTAATCAAACTTCGGTCTTGCTTCTTCTGTTGTCAACCTTACATAACGTCTGGGCTACGTAAACTGTCAATCCCCATACCATCTTCAAACCTATGCACAAAACGGTGAAAGTATAGTGTACTGGCGGCCTTGAGTTGTTCCTTAGAGTGATGATGACGCCTTGTGTAATTTACGTGAAACTTAAGGTGTGATGATAAGTCTTATGCTATGACGGACGGAGTTAATATTCAGAATGATTGGTCCTTAAGATCCTTGGAAACAAAAATTATCTATTATGCAACCACAATGTGATTTTAAAATGGTACTTAAGCTGAATCGCAAAATATACCTGCTCATAACGGAGAGTCTGTTTAAGTACGTGATGTGATTCTATGCGCAGTCAAGAAAGGTTCGTGCTGCTGAATATTATTCTCCGATTTAATACTTACCTTTAATTCCAATCACTAGTTTATAAGCAAAAGGGCGACAAAAAAATCACATTATAGCTGATGTCGGTTTATGATGTAAGCTTTAATGGCAAATCATAAAACCATCTGCAAATTCTACCTTAAGTCTCAATACATGAACCTTACCTTTTTGCATTATCACTGGTGCTAGTTGATGACGAAAGCTCTTTGGGATGACTACTAACTCACAACCCTTGTCTGAATCTAAATCTCCATAAGATAACCTTATTCCTTAACTGAAGAGAATAATTCGACATGTGAAAGTTGGTTTTCGAGATAGCTATGATTCCGTTGTTTTAATATCAATCATTTAGCTGCAACGTAGGACCAGGCACATATAAACATTGGTTCAAATTGTCACACCACATTAGCACAACAAGATAGACACCAAATTCATAGAAGTAGTCACTTCAGTCGTAGTAATGTATAAGAGAAAGATTGCTTATAAGAATATGATACAGGAAGAAGAAATCGGTTCGTAAAATCAAGGTACAACGTAATTTTAATCTCACGGTTTATAGGAAAACAAAGCGTGTATACACCTACCCCATTGTGATTGATTCTGAGCCGTTACCCAGAGTCTTCAACCATTGGTTACGATAGTCGTGCGAACTCCAACCAAGTAGTCTGGATCTACCAACATGGCTCAGACCTGTAGTTAATGACTTCAGGCACTGATGCCACGTTTTGGTTTGGCTGCCCCTTACTTTATTCCGACCGTCTCCAACACTCCCACCATAGCTGCTACCTTGACGCGGTGGTCGGGCTTGCCTATCGTGATGACCCAACCGAGCTATATTGGCTGGAACATATGTTCCTGTAGGTTCTACCATGCCAGGCAGGTCGATTGAACGGTAAGACTAAAAGCAGCAACTCAAGGTCTGAGGGCGAAGTCGTACTGCTGACTGTAGAGAGGTGTGACAGCAGTAAGGTGTTTCCCTCGGACAACCAGCATGACAGCGATGCTGCCTTCCCACAAGGAGGGGTGGGGTTAGAAAAGGTCGACCCTAAAAATGTCACACCTCACCTTACCTCACGGATTTCCGTCTCCGGCGGTAAGGCCCTTTGAAGAACGGAGCTAACACGTAAAAACCTTCCACAAAAAGGCCGTGCGCGACCGGCCTCAAGCAGTTGTCCCTTGGGCTCTGCGGTCACGCTCCCAGGTCGTCAAGACCAACACTAATCCAATTTCCTTTTCAGGTTCCTCAAGAAATACCCTTCCACGGTGTGGGCAGCCGGGAAGTGACATCAGCCCTCATACCCGTAACAGCACACGAGACCAAGTTGGTCACATTCAAATCCTTCCTACACCTCCTAATACCTCTCTTATCTCCATGACTAACCCTCCTCACGTCTCTTTATCACCTCGCACCGCTAGGGCAAACGATTCGAGTACGCGGAACGCCATTCCTGGTCTCCTGAAACCACGCTCTAAACTACACGTAGGAGCTTTTAACGTACGAACACTTGCCAAATAGGACAACAGGCTTCCTTAGCTAACTTTAGAATCTCGCGCCATCGATGTGTGCTGCGTCTCCGAAACGCGCATACAGGATCCAGTAGCGTCATTCATTTGACCTCACCATGCCAAAATAAAGAACCGACTCGATTCACACTTCGTGTATCTGGAAGCCCTGATTCTGCTTCCCGTGGCCTCGCCGGCGTAGGTATAGCATTGAGTCCTAGGGCAGAACTAGCTCTCTTAGAGTGGATCCCAGTAGACAGTCGTTTGTGCGCTGTCCGACTGAACGGAACAGTAAGAATCCGAAAAGATAGGGACACTCGTCGTTGCCTCTTCGTCGTCTCTGCCTATTCTCCCACTGACTGCAGCTCAGATGATGTAAAAGATGAGTTTTACAGAAAGCTTTCCGACCTTCTCCGAAAAGCTAGGCGCTCGGATGTAGTAATAGTGGCCGGTGACTTTAATGCTCAAGTAGGTAAACTAAGCGATAGGGAAAGACACCTAGGTGGATCTTATGGTGTCGTGGCTCAAAGAACAGATAATGGCGACCGTCTGTTGCAGCTATGCTCAGATAACCGCCTGTTCCTTGCAAATACTAACTTTAAGCATAAGGAAAAACATCTTTTAACATGGCGACCCCTAATTCGTCCCAACGTTGGACCCAAATAGATCACATCGCTATCAGCCACCGATGGAGGGGCTCGATAGAAGACTGTCGCTCATTCTGGAGCACATGCTAGATTCAGATCATGCTCTAGTGCGAGCGCGTATTGCTTGCGTCTTACTGGACGTAGGAAAGACGCTGCAAGGAAACCTCTTAGGGCCTACTTAATGATAGTCAAGCTAAGAGTATATTTCAGGAACAACTAGGAAAACAGTTAGGCAGCCATGTATGTGATGCCCACCCCGAGGCAGCATGGAATGATATCCGAAAAGCTGTGGAAACAGCAGTGATATCTGCTAGTAAGGTAAACCGTAAGGTTAGGGAGCAACACTGGATCTCAGCAGCATCTATCGCACTGATAGATGCTCGGAAACTCATTCCACCTGGCTCTGAACATAATGAAGAGCGGAGTCAGCTTAAGCGCAAGCTGACAAGAAGTCTACGCAATGATCGTGAACAGTGGTGGGTAGCGAAAGCAAGAGAGATGGAAAAGGCAGCGGCAATAGGTAATAGCAGACAATTGTTCAGACTCGTTAAGGAAACCGGAATTAGGAACCCGACTGTTAGCGAAACAATCTCAGAGAAAGATGGACATATTATTCATTCTCAATCCAGGAGATTGGATCGATGGGCAGAACACTTTAGGGATCAGTTCAACTGGCCTTCAGCCACACTTCGGTTTCCCACGATCTCCAGTCAACCTGAATGGCAAGTTAATGTAGGTCCTCCGTCTTTACGAAGTTGAAAAAGCCATAGGAAATCTGAAACGAGGGAGAGCAGCAGGCCCTGACAGGTTTACTCCTGAGATTTTTAAGGATGGTGGTCCAGTATTAGCAGTGAGATTAACTGAGGTCTTAGGTAGAATTTGGGAACTGGACGTAATCCCATCTGACTGGTCTCAATCACTGATTGTGCCAGTCTATAAGAAAGGACAAAAGTCCTCTTGTGACAATCACAGAGGAATCAGTTTGACTAATATAGTGTCTAAAATATTAGCTTCAATAATACTTCGACGCCTAATCAAAGCTCGTGAAGAGCAGACTAGAGAAAACCAGGCTGGTTTTCGACCTGGACGTGGTTGTATAGATCAGATATTCACACTACGTCAGGTTCTAGAACACAGACACATTCAGACGCCCCACAATGGTAGTATTTCTCGACCTTAAGGCGGCATTCGACTCTGTTGATCGTGAGGTTCTATGGCAGTGTTTGTCACTGAAAGGAGTACCAAAGAAGTACATTAACCTTATAAAGGCTCTCTACTCGAACACAACTGGTCGAGTGAGAGCTTATGGCGAACTGTCATCAGAATTGATTACCTCAAGTGGTGTTCGTCAGGGCTGTCCACTCTCTCCATTCTTGTTCAACTTTGTCATTGACGTACTTTTAGAGATAACACTCTCCTCATCTAAATTTACAGGGGTTGAACTTCTACCGGGAGGTTCACTTGTTGACTTGGAATATGCTGATGACATAGTTTTATTTGGTGAAGACGCTGACAAAATGCAGTGGTGGGCAATGAAAGCAAAAGAGATGGAAAAGGCGGCGACTATAGGGAACACAAGATAGCTTTACAGACTAATAAAAGAAACTGGAATTAATAAGTCAAGTGTAAGTGAGATTATTTCGGAAAAAGGCGATACTCTCATCTGCTCCCAGTCCAGACGTTTAGAACGATGGGCGGAACATTTCAGAGAACAGTTCAGCTGGCCTTCAGCTACTCTACAACTACCCTCCATTCGCAGACAGCGTGAATGGAACATTGAAGTAGGTCCCCCAACTCTCGCTGAAGTTCAAAAGGCCATAGTTAATCTGAAACGAGGAAGGGCAGCTGGTCCAGATGGACTGGCTCCAGAAGTCTTTAAGGATGGTGGTCCAATTTTAGCGATTAGGTTGACTAATATTTTAGCTAAAATCTGGGAGTTAGAAGTTATCCCATCTAACTGGTCACAATCACTTATCGTCCCAATATATAAGAAAGGGTCAAAATCATCCTGTGACAACCACAGAGGGATTAGTTTAACTAATATAATATCTAAAATACTAGCCTCGATAATTATCAGACGCCTAAGACTCGTGAACTGCAAACACGAGAGAATCAAGCTGGCTTTAGACCTGGTCGTGGCTGCATCGACCACATATTCACCATTCGTCAGATTCTAGAACACAGGCATACTTATCGGCGTCCGACAATGGTGGTCTTTCTCGACTTAAAAGCAGCATTTGACTCGGTAGACCGCGAGATTCTGTGGCAGTGTCTGTCATTGAAAGGAGTACCTCAGAAGTACATAAACCTTGTGAAGGCTCTTTACTCGAACACTACTAGTCG